CATTGTTCAATAAGAAATTTTTTTTATTTACTTTTACTATTCAATAACCATGTTGCATCCTTAATTTAAAATCAAATTATATTCATTGTTCAATAAGAAATTTTTTTAATATTTATTTTTTTATTAACAAATTTAAAACCAAAAAAACTAATTAAAAAAAAACAAAACTAATCCAATCAAAAGAAAAAAATAATTTTTTTAAAAAGAAAAAAAGTAAGAAGATAAGAATGGTAAAAAATAAAAAATAGAAAATCAAACCAAAAAACCAAACAAAAAATTAATGAACTTAAAAAAGAAACGCAACAACAAGACCGCTAAAGAAAGTCAAAAAAACAATTTTAATTTTTTTTTGGAAAATAGGTAATGAAATATATCATTTTTATTGTGCAAGGCAATATAATGTGAATTGTACAAGAGGGTCCAGACAATCAAGACTTCTTGGCCTTTTAGACGTACATGTGGAGCGTAAAAACATTCTGATTTTTATATTTTTTATTGTATAATAATATTTTATTATAAAATAAATTTTTTATTTTATTTAAATATTTTATTATAGAATAAAACTACTAAATGGAAAAATCTCAATATCAAGCAGTCTATTTCTGTTATAATTGTACGATTCATTACCGTGTCCCACATTTTCCTTATTCTTAAGGAAGAAACTGAAATTTCTGCAAAAGGAAACAACACACTTACAAACTACTCAACGACGCGTTGAGTATGAAAATTCTGACTTTTTTCACAATTTTCCCAAAAGAGTCGACAATTTTTCTGAAGAGCAAAGCTTTCAAAAACTTCAGGACAATACCTTTAACGCGGTATCTTAAATGATTTAATTTAATAAATAGTTTATTAATTATTGATTTATTTTTTTAGTTTAAAATATTTATTTTTTAAAAATTTATTTATTAATTTTTAAATTTATTTTAATTTTATTTAATTTAACAAAATTTAATTAATTAAATTAATAAAACTTTTAATTTTTAATTATATGAGACCACATAAATTGCCACTTAACTTAAAAATGAAAGGAAAAATTCTTATGGTTTTTTATTCAATCATATGACAACTTACGTGGTAATTTATGTGATGTTACATAATAAAAAATCTAAACTTTTATTAATTCAATTAATTGAGTTACATTAAACTAAATGAAAATTAAAGCAAATTTAAAAGTTAATAAATGTTTATTTTTATAAAAAAAAATAAAGATATTAATCTAGAATGAAAAAAAATTCAATGATTAATAAACGATTTATTATATGGATTAAATCTACTTTGTTTTGTCGCAATTTTAATAGAAAATTCACTGTTTAGAAAGCCTTCAATAAGATTGTGTCATTTGAGTCATAACAACATCTCAACATGAAACGCAAATAAGATTAATACACTCAAATCCATGGTTCCATACAGATCAATCATGGGTCAACCAACAAACATAATTCAGAGGTTCTCTCATTCTGAGTTGATATCACAACTCAAAATAATCGCTTAGCATTAGATATCAAGGTAGACGCAAGCAAATGCACAACTTAAGTTGAAATGGATACCAACTCTTTACTGAAATGAAGTTTGAAGAGTAATTAAGTTCAACTCTTCTAATGTCAACAAAACAAATTCATGTCAAGATAGTTTACATTCCAATAAATTAAATTAAAGCTATAATTATAGATATGACATAATTATTTAGGCTATATATGACTTCATAGATGGTCCGAGAAAGACATCTGATGCAGCTTGAATTGGTAATCACCATAACTTTCGAACTTGTTGGAGATGGAAAACTAATGAAGGAATGCGATGAATGTTACTACTGAATAAGTAGATGGGAAGTAATAACTCTTCGCATTACTCACGACCTACTGATTCGACTCTGGATTTTTGGTTGTGCTCCCATTCTGTTGCTGCTGCTGCTGCTGTTGGTGGATGCTCAGCTGAGAAAGTTGCTGCTGTTGCAACTGAAACATCTGGGAGGTAATAGGGTGCTGCTGGGAGACCATGCCTTTGGAAGGGTCTGCATCACCACTCAGGTCCTGAGTAACAAGCTTCAAGCGTCGGACCTCTGCTGTCAATGCTTCGTTTAGAGCTGTCACAATCAAAAACATTTCAGACGTTGCATTTAAGGAATGGGGACTCAATAGCTACAAACCTTCAAATCTGCAAGGTGGCAGCCCCGCTGGTACCTAATAACCTACTACTACTTGGTGGGGGTTGTTACTCAGTAGCAAGCAACAACTGGAATGAGTAAAATATGGATCGTGACTCTGGAATATCCAATTGTAGAAATATATCCATAACACTAAATTTGTGCAAAAAGAAGATATTGTTGCCACTACAACTTTTAAGACAAGATTAGTTTCAGCAGGTTCTTTCATTCTAATCTATAAGGTCGCAGGTTCTATCGTCTCTAACTTATTCTCCTATCCTACTGCATTTTCACATTCCAATCTTTGGAAAATATTTTTTTCTCTCTCACGCATTTGATAAAAAGATGACAGAAAAAGAAAAATGGAAGTGGGATTGTACCATCACGGAGTTGTGCCTGCTGCTCCATGGCTTGAAGACGAAACTTCAATTCGTTATTCTGATTAGTAAGCCCAACAGAATCTCTCTGCACATAGGAATAAGATGAAAGAGCAAACTTAAGAAAAAAGTGCTTAGGGAAACATGATCATAACATCCAGCACCCCAAACCCTCACCTGTAGAAGTGTTAGCTGTGCTGACAATGTAGTGGCTTCAGTCTGCAGAGTCTGAACCTTATGCTCCAATTCTGAAATATATCGCATCTTTCGTTCTTTGGAACGAGCAGCTGATTGACGATTTGCCAAAATTCTAAGATAGAATAGCCATTAAGTATAGCATTGTGGAATGCTCTTAGAAAATCATAAAGTTATTAATTACAGAAAAGCACTAGACTTGAACAATAAAATACCTCTTGGCACGCTTTGGGTCAGTCATTGCAATCTCAGCAAGCTTCTCATTTGCCATAATCTTTTTCAGTTCGGCCGCACTAAACTCTCCATTGCCAAACTCCAAGCTAAAACCAGGAGTGTTCCCATCCATTGAATTGCTGGGTGAGAGTTGAACTGGACGAGTTCCTGGAGAAGGTGGCAGTTTTGGCGAGTCCTCGCCAAAGTTCAACTTGCCCATAAAACTATCCATGGATACACTTCTATAATGTCTACTGGTAGGCGCAATATCTCCTCCTGCACTCCTTTTGATCCCTTCCCTTTTACTATTGCCACTTTCATTCACACTGCTTTCCACTTCATTATCACTGCTCTCAGCGCCATTGGTCTTTGTTCCACTGGCTCTACTATCCAAATCTTCATGATTCTCAGTACCATTCTTATCATCTGTGCCCGAAGAATTCAATGTATCAATGTTGTCCAAATTCATATAAGCAGAAAACAAATCATCCACGGTTTCCCCTTCAGATTTCCTCTCACCCATTCCTTCAGCATTGCCATCACCAGATCGATCCCAGCTCGTTTCCTTTTTCACTAATTGAGCAGGCTTAGAGACACCCATATTTTCCCTTCCCGAAACCGACCTCTCCAAACCAACTGGACCCCTTGATGGAATAAGGGGTGGGGAAGATTGCATTATGTTATTAAACCCAAATGGAATATCACTGCTTGACCGCCTATGAGCTTTGCGTGGGGGCAAACCCTCACCAAACCGCCCTGAATTCGCCCTAGTAAAAGGTGATGGTGATGGTGGCAACAAAGAATGTGACCCTGCATCCTTATCTTCCATTGACACATCTGCGGAAACTTGGTCTGAAGCTGAAGTAGATGAGGAGTCCCGGAAAGGAAACGGGCTTAGTGGGGGTAATGGATCAAGAGAGAAAAAGGAAGAAGGCTGCGACAACGACCGCGAGTGAGTCGGTGGTCCATGGCTGAAATTTTGTGAACCAGTAGGCTGGTTGACAGGCCGGGACACCGGGATCTGTGAGTACGGCGATATAGGTGGGATCTGGCTGGGGTGAGAAGGAGGCATGCCAACTCTTTTGCTAGCATCGGTACCACTTAAGTTTTGACCAAAATGAGAGAAATGTCTGGCACGGATTTGATTAGGATTCAACGGAGGAATTTCAAGTTGGTTCATTGACATGGGTTGTCTAGGAATCGAAGTTGTGGAACTTCCAAATTGCATCACATCGGTATTACCCTCATCAGTATCAGCCATTTTTGCTCTTCCAAAGTTCCAAGCTTTCACAAGATCCTACCTTTCTATCATAAAACCAACCGAAGATGCTAATGATGATAAATCAAACCTCAAAGATCACTACTTTAACAATTCAGAAGCTCCAACAAACCAATTCAAATTCAACCCAGTTCAGTTCAAACCAAAACATGAACACCAGAACAAATCAAACCCAAAAAAATCTACAAAATGAGTAAAAACACAAATCAAGAAAGCACTAAAAAGAAAGATTACACTCCCCAAAAAATCACCACAATTTACAGACCTAAATCCAACCCGAAAATTTTATCAAAATCAGGAAAAACACAGTGTCTTTATAGCTCTCAACAATTTAGTCGACCAAGGAAGATGAAAATGGCCTACCTTCCAGCCGGCCGGCGCACGTTAGCAAGGGAAAGAAGAAGACGCTGCTCACGTTATCAAGGTGGCAGAGCACCACTAAAATCTCCGCCGAATTTAGCGGCAGAAGCTTTCTCTCTCCGGGAAAAAAAAAGTGTCGTTTGGTTTTCTCCCTCTAGAAAAACTTGACACGGACACTTTCTCTCTCTAGAAAAACAAAATACCCTGTTGTAGATTTCTTTTTTGTTTTTTTTTTTTTTGTCCATAGGACACGGATTTCATGGTATGCAGCATGTCATGTAAAGATTGAATTTATAAGAAATCTTCATTTCATTTTCATTTGCATTTTCATTTCATTCCGACCTCATTTCTTAATTTTGACACCTTTGTCACCGCAGCTTATCAAGCAATGGATTTCTCTTCCTCTTTTCTTTCTTACTTTACTTTTTTTTTTTCATGTTAATTTCATTTTTGTAGCCAATGGAAATTTTCATAATAACTATGATTATATTAATTATTCTTACCCTTGCACAAAAATATAAGAACGAACAATTATTTAGCTACGTTGTAATTGCATTGTATATAATCATGCAAAATGTAAATAAAAAAATTTATCTGATCGATTAAAAGATACTTTCACATTGATTATATAATTACGTGTCTTACTTTCATATCGATTATATAATTATGTGTTTTATCTTACTATTAGTTATATAATTGTATAATTACGTATCTTATTTCTATATCGATTATATAATTACATGTTTTATATAAATGAATCTTACTAATGATCCCTTTTTTTTTTTGCCTCGTTAAATTCAGTAGTAATTACATCATCAAATATTTGGCATGCTATTAAAGAGAAATTCTAGAAATGTGCCAGCATGATTTTTTTTTTTTATATGGTAATTATTAATGGCTTTCAAGTCCTTTCCATCTTTAAGAATCATGGAGAATTCAATCTTTGCAGAAATTTGTTTTAAAAAAATTGTTCTCTTTTTGTGAAATTTAATACAATCTTATACTAATTATAACCATTACAATAATTGATAATGATATATGGATTATTTTTTTATAATTTTTAAATATTATTAAATCAATAAATACATATAATAATATATATCTTAATAAAATAATAATAATAAAAAAGTCAATTACAAAATTACATGTAAGATTGTGAAAATGATATAGTTAAAATATCACATAAAAGTTTACAATATAATGTCTCATTATATAATTAGTTTTTTTACTTAGGAGTTCATTTATAATATTGTATATATTTATTTATTTTAGAATACATCACATTTATTAAATGTCATATTAAAATTGTAATTTTATAATTTTACTTGACATTATAACTATAATATTACCAATAAAAAAACATGAAAAATTATATTTAAAAAATTATATTTCAATCATTTTCTTTAAGATTTTTCTACTTTATGCCTTTAAGAATATCTTTTTAGTTTTAATTGTTACTGGAAAAAATAAAAATTAACATTTATTTAATTAATTATTTAATTAAAATTATTCACATAAATAATGAAATTAATATTAATGTTTATCAATTTTAATATCAATTAATATAAAAAATATAGTAATTATACTTGTAATATATGTCTTATAAATACATATTAAAAAAATTATTTCCCTAATAACAATTCTAACTATTTACTCTCGAACCTTCCTTATGAGGTGAGTAGAAGGAGTATCATTTACCATCCACTCAGCCAAAATTTGGAGAGTTCTTGATTCTATTCCTCTTTTCCATTCCTTAAAAATTATAGTTGTTTAAAAAAAAATAGTTTCTCTAACTTATATCCTAAATGCACAAATTAAAAATATAATAAATATATATTTTTTAAAATGAAATTCATATTAAAAATTATCAAAATTGATATATATTTTATCATCACTAATACATATATATATTTAATTAATTAATTAATTAAATCAAAATTAATATTATACTCTCTTTTTTTAACAATTTAACATGAAATAGGATCCAATCCGCCCAAATGAAAGAGAAGTGAAACTATTCAACATGATTGACACTGCTAAACCCAAAAGATAAGACGCAATCAATATTATACTTTTAATAAAATTAATTCTAAAAAATATATTTATTACATTATCATCTTATATCCTTAAAATACAAAAAAATAAAAAATAATAATAACAAAAACAAAAAACAAAACAAAACAAACAAACAAACAAACAATTTACTCTCATTGAACGTGGGGGATAGAGCAATTGCTCACTTAACCCAAAACCTGCTCACTAGATGGCAGGCTCAAAACTCCTCAACTACATTCTGTGCTCCCCCATCCAATGAGTGCTTGTCCAACCAGAGGGGGCACTAAATGCCTCGGATTGAGAAAAACCGCTTCAACAAAAACCCATTCCCATACTTCTTATTAATTTCGACATGTACAAAACTTAAATTATTACATCGTCCTGGTTCCCGCGATATGCGTTATGTTAGCCACGTGGCATAGAATGTACCGTCGATGACGTCTTCAAGTTGGACCCGAAAACATGGGATCCAGAAGAAACGACCACGTGTTGATGGGATATACGTGGCGACTTCTAAGTGCACTGAGTGGGAAGCTTATCCACTCCCAATTTAAGCCTTCCCCCCGGGGGTCAATTATTATATCAACAACTAATAAAAAGCAGTGCCTCGTAGGCCCACCTTGGGCCCACTAAAATTAGGCTTACCTTTTAATGCGAAAACGAATTCTCTGTTTGTTTCTGACGTGGGCCAAGTTCTGGCCCGTGCGAAATTGACGTTGTACTACTGGAAGTCAAACGTAGTCGTTTCACGTCATAAATCTGTGGGGGCACTTTTGTCTCGCACTTTTCCTGGAGATTTTCAAGTTTAAAATCTAATTATTACGTGTCAAAATGGCATTGATTCACGTTATTTAAGGTGTTTTTAATCCATAACGTTTTTATGAATAATAATAAAAAAAATAAAAATTTGAGATCAAAATTTAAACTTAATAAACATTATATAAATTATGTCATTTAAAATATTCAAAAATAATTTTTATATTATCTAATAATTAATTTTTTATTTTTAAAATTTATAATATTATATATATCAATTAATTTAATGACATAATATACATCATATAATTAATTTAAAACTTTTGATTCAAATTCTCGTCTTATTAGGAATGCATTTCCAATCCAATTACTAACTGTATGGTTGAATTCAGAGTAATTTTGTCCTTTTATTTTCCTTTTTTCTTTTTTATTTTCTTCTTTTTCCTCCAAATTTTTTAATAATTAAATAAAAAAATTTTGCCTCCCCTCTAATCTTATCAACCTAAATATATTGTAAGGATATATTTAATTTAAAGAAATGAAAATATATCTAATTTGAGGAGATGAGAAAGAAAGGATTAAAAGTGAAAGAATAGATTAAAAGTGAAAGAATACAATATTATTTCATTTATCTTCTTTCTCCATTCCTTTATTTCTCTTAAACTAAACATATTCTAAATCTAATCTTACCATTAGTCACTCTACTTTAGTCCCTAACCAAAACCTTAGTTGAAATTTTCTGAGACCCACATAGATCTTTACATAATTCTTCCAATTTTTGCAGCCCCAAATTTATTTTTGCTAAATTTTAGACCCCCAGATGAATTGAATCAGGTGATTTTGAGTTGAGGTTTTTCATAAAAAGTAAAAACCCTCCTTATCAGCAATTCAAGAATGCATCCTTAGCAAAGGCAACTTGATATGGCCTATCCAAAATATGATAGATTGAAAAGGAATCACTCAAGACTTTTCCATTTTAATTATGATTTATATACTTCTAATTCTTTAACTCTGACATGTAAGCTTGTACTTACATGAGGTAGGGATTTTTCTCTCTTATTTTGGCTGACAAGGTTTTATTTGATGATTTTTCTTTTTTGATCAGTTGTTTGTCTCTTGCTCCTGTATGTTTCAAACTTTGTGGGCACTTCTCGTGCCTCCCTTTGTTTTCATAAATTAATTTTGTCGATATAAACAATATGGATTGAGGTGTGACTGGCTATTCTTCACATAGTTTGACTGAAAATATCAAAATAGTGTTCGCTTTAGATGTAAAATTAAGTGATTTTTCTAACTCTATCATGTCTCGGCGCTGGAGGTAAAGAAATACAGACAAATAATAAGCTCTTCTTTTAGGTTTGCTGAATTATTTAATGCACAATGGATTTCTTATGACGCATTTGTCAAACTATTTTATTCAAATTCGTAACAGGACTTATAGGTTAATGTTAGTTGTGAAATATTTTAAGGATCCCCGTGGGTCACACAAAATTTTTACTAGGATTTTTGCTTGGGATCTAACTAGATTGATTAGCACTAGGGTTAAACTTAACAATTTAAAAAAGGTTGGAATCATTTTTTGTCCGAATGAAAGATATATAATATTTAATAGTTATTATAAAAGTTGAGATTTCCCTTAATTGACGTATCGAATTCCAATATTGTGAATAAAGAATTAAGTTACTATTGAGTTTTCTCTCAATAGAGTCAAATGCAATTCGATTTTGGATTAATCAAAATCTACTATGATTACTGGATACAGAAAGATTAATAAAAAAATAATAATAAGAGTTGAGATTAAATTTGGTAGTTTAGTTGCATGTATTACATGATAGAAGAATGTAGTGAGTTTAAAAAATATGAGAGTACCTATATTTTAGTATCAAGATTAAGGAAAAAAAAATTGATATGTAGTTTAAGATTTGAGAAAGAGAAAAAAATTAAAACATTTTAATATTAAAAATATTAGGATATCACATAATATATTTAACAAAGTTAAAACTTATATTATATCTTATATATTTAATAATTATAATTAAATATCCCTATATTAAAAAATATCATAAGGTTATGATTTTTCCCTTTTTTTATATATTAGCTAGTTAGGTAGTTATGCGTGAAAACGGAGTAGTAGTTATACATGAAAACAGAGTGCTGAATGCATTCCGCCGCTGCCTGAGTGCACAAGCACTTTAGGTTGGAATTGGGATTAGTTTAGTGACTTTAGTCTCAATCTTTTATTTTAATATTTTATCAAGTATTTATACAATAAAAAATATACCAATAACTTATTAGTTTGAGTAGAAAAAATTCAGTTTTATTTAAATAAGTAAAAATTTAAATTCAAATTTTATAAATAAAAAATAAACTTAAAAAACTTTCAATATAATTCAACCTTAAACTAGTCAAGTCAAAAAGGATATATTAATAATTGTGATGGCCTCCCCTGCTCAAAATACTTATTGTAATATTTTTTTGAGGAAAAAAATGCACTCAACTCAATCAAGTTCCTAACAAGTACACCTTGCATTTCTCTGCATGCAAAATGTTCAATTGTAATGCATTATCAATACAAATGAAAGGGAATTAGAAATAGACAATCTGAAATTGATCAACAATGGAAACTCAAACTACGCTTGAATTCTCTGTTCTCGGCGGAAATGCGAGGCCGAGGCAGAGAAAGAGCTCGTTTCAGAATTTGGGTTTCAGTTTTTATTGATGGATGATCGCCTTCATTAATTCCAATTTTTACCGTGGCTAAATCAAGGCGCTCCTCCTCCTCCTGAACCATTTCCTTTGCATCTGTTTCCCGATCATCCCTCTGCGCTTGCATTGGTTCCGATGAGAGGCCCGGCAACGGCGGTGAATGTATGAGTATGGCGAAGAGAAAAGAGATGGCCCATATAAGGATAGGCAATGCAATTAACAATGGAGCGTAGTACACAAGCCAATGGAATCTAGGATGGTGGCAGCCGTACAGAGCCCAGTGGACGACCATGGCAACGCCTAAGGAGAAGGTGATGGCGCTGCTAGTCATGAAGAGGGTGAAGATTCTTGGGTTGGGTAGGTTGAAGAAATCATTGATGATGGTTAGCCACATTGATGGTTTGGTCCAGTCGATCACGTTGGAAGAGAAGAAGGTGACTCGGATAAAGAGCATAGGGGAAGAAAAAATAAATACCATTTCTGGTGAGAAGATGAAGAATTGAATATATTTTGAAAATGGCAGAGATTCACTCCTCATCGTGATCTGATTGTACACACAGTATCACTTTGGTTAAGATTTAAGATTTGTATTTTCACGAATCCTTCAATATTATTAAAATTGTATTTTTTTTTTACTAATTTTTCAATATTTAAAAATCACATGGCATCCTGATTAAATAATAATTTTTTTCATTAATCTTAAAATATTTAGAGAACATATTATATTAATTAATTCAAAATCGAATTACATTGAACCTTATAAGAAAAAAAGATCTTCCAAGCCTATTTTCTTTATTTACAAAACTTAAATTCGATATCTTATTTAAAAAAAATCAATACCCTCTCAATTGAAACATGTCATTAATTATTAAGATGGTATTTTTTAGGAGCAAATATAGTCACGTCGAATTTAAATCAAACACAGTTTTTTTTTTTTTTTTTAAGTATCATTTCCAACTATTCTTCTAAAGAAGCGAAACTACAAATTTAACTACAAATTTGTAATTGTAAACTGTTGAAAAATATGATAAAAAGACGGAACAAAATTTTAACCATTCATATCAATATTAACTCAACTTTAATAGATAAAACTTTTAATGACCTGCTTTATTATGGCCGCGTAAATTGGAGTATGCATAAACTCAGTAGCTAAATAGGGACTTTGACAATTTGAGAGAATTACAATACCGTATAGCATAGGAGCATGGGAAGCGCCTTCCTTGAAAGAAGCACCATGCTTACCTGTGGTTGAGTTACTGATTGCTAACAGGGCCATAGAGGCCAAGCTTAAAACCAGCGAGGAAACACATTCCATCCTCAAGTTTGATCACAAGCTACTTGATGGTGATGTAGCGGTTTGTTCCATGTTTAGCCCAGTAGTTCTTGAGATCAACAGGTACTGATAAATCATGGCCCTCATAACTCAGCCGGCTAAGCAATTTCGTAAAGACACTACCGCTCATCTTTCGGCCACCCACTCTGGCATGGCGCTTGTGTGGCATCTGCGGCAGTGGGTATGATGACAATGTGGTTGTACAACAAGAAGATTGCCAACCACCATTTCCCCATTTGTAACATTGTCGAGGAACTCCTGTGCAGGAGCAAAATGGAACTGGCATGGTGGAATCATTGAAATTAACCAGTTTCAACCCCATACCTTGACTATCCCACTCAGACCTAAACTTCTTAACATCACCACCAGCATGCTGATTTAATTCCCCACCCATTTTCCTTACCTTCGATAGAGACTTTGGTTCCTTCAAAACTGCCTTATTTTCCTTTGTCCGCTTCACCTGAGGTGACTTGACTGTCTTAGAAGAAATGACTGTCACGGGTAGGGCATTGGTTACATTCATTTCCCCAGTGTTCAAAGCTTCAGCCATGTCAGTTGAATGGTATGTCGGGTGGTGCATTCGCTTTGCCCCATGTCGCATTCCACTTCCCATGGAGAAGTTATTTTCCTGGTATTGAAGCACAACTAAGGCTTTGTCTCTCTCAATTAAGGCACTGTCTCGCTCAGCAAGTGCTCTATCTCGCTGCTGGAGGGCCTCATCTCGTGCAGCCAAGGCTTCCTTCTTTTCAGCAAGTGCTATATTCCGTTCTACGATAGCAGCATCTCTCTCATTAATTATGGACATGATTTTCTTGTTCATGACCAAGGCATTACTTTGTTCCTTCACTTGATGTTGTGGCATCATATTCCACTGCATATATCAATTTGTATTCTACTTAAATGAACCGAGAATTGGATAACTGGATAATAAAAAGGGAAGATAAAACAGGCAAGGATCAGCAGACAGCCCTTTGCTCTATCCTTACCGGAGGATGTGCTGCTTTGTAGTAATCCACCTTATACCTTCCATTTTCATGTTGTCCAGGACCATCCATTTCAACCAAATTCTATTTGAAGTAAAGCAGAATTTGTTTGTCACCTGCTCCTCAAGGGCTAATCTTCAACATGCTGAAGATCAACTAGTTTCCTGGAGAAAGATAAAGCAATAATGAAATTCGAGCAGAAACCTAAAGTGGATTGCTAGTTAGATACTAATAGCAAGGTACTAACCTTTCTACTAATCCTAGGAAACATAGAGCTAGGGACCAAGGAAAGTCCAAACATGGATTTGAGAAGCATCTTTGTTAACTGACCTTCCTCCTAGGGAACATTGCTGCTTGCTTATTGGAAAATAAAACCAAAAGACATGCATAACCTAATAACCTATGACAAGAAAGTTTGGCAAACATGAATTAAGTGGACATAATCCTTATATTGCCTTACCAAATGAGAAAAAAGAAAGAAAGAAAACACGTATACCCAGCCACAACAAAAATGATGATTTCACTAACTTCAATCAAAACATACCATACAAAATATACTACAAATCCCACTTCTAGAATATCACGCCTTTTGCTTCACAAACATTAATGACAGCAGCAGACTGCTTTACTAGCACCTAAGCCTTCCTTCAAGAATCAATTCTATCTATTTACTGGACCAATCCACACAAAATATAAAAGGAGAGGACACAGGAAAATCAATCTTATCACATGACAATAATAATGTCAAATTTCAAGTAGCAAAAACTGAATTATAACTTATTTAAAATCTTCCTCACCTAGTGAAGTTTTAAATTAGGATGACTAGACTCAGTAGCAGCAATTTTCTCAACATCACCCCATTTCAAGAATCTCCAACTTTTATTAACTGAGGAGCACACCTTCCACATTTGTAAAACATATTTAACAAAGCAATTAAGTTTGAGTCAATTTCTTTTTAATTTAAAATGTTCCAGAACAGGATGATTTCAGAACACAAACTAAATATAGTATAATCACATACAAGAATATCCAATAGTTTAGATTAAAACTTATCAGCCTATAAACAGATCCAAATGCAGGGACTTTAATATGATAATTCTGATGTGTGAAAGTCTAAATTCAAATTGAAAATTTTAGAGGATCCTGAAGATCCTTACGTAACACAAGTTTCTAATTTATAAAATAGAAAACAAAATGCATTTAGTAACTATTCACTGAAATTGTAATCTAGAACTAGACAACAACTTTAAAGCTTCTTCAATACGTGCTTGGTGATACTGAAGTATTGAACAGACTTGATAAATCTAGTTCATTAATGAAATAGAGCGAGGTTTGCATCAGTGGCGGAAGTTATTACTTATTACTCTCAAATTAGCAGTTTCTCAAGTGTATCACATAGCATCTCTAGATAATGAAGTTGAAATATCCTTGGTCATAACACAAATAAAAACTCAAGTTTTTATTGCAGATTCTAGCTCTTTAAGACATAAAAATAAATCATTTTAGCATAAGCTCAGCTTTTGCTCTATGTCAGAATGCAGAGAGCAAAGAACAATATTTTTAGTTGTAGTAACTCTTCTCCCTTTTTTTATTACAGATGCAGTCACCTTAAATTCAATTGTTAGCCACCACCATATAATGAGGTGGTACGTGCATCTGCATTCTACATATCTGATGGCCTAACGTATGGCTAACTAAGTTTAGTATGTTATACAGTTATAATGGAAACCTCCTCCGGTCCTCTCCCATTTTAATTTTTAATTGGACACTTTAAATCGCATAGTAAAAAATTAGCAATCAGTTCAGATAATAACCTATTAAGCATTAGGCAAAGCAAAGTTCTAATGCAAAACAACTTCAGAATTAGTTTCTTTCAAATATTATTTGGTTTTACCATGTCTTTCCAGTTCATAAAATCACACCACATATGTTGATTTTTTCTTTCGTACAACATTTAAGAAAATTTAATGAAAGTAGACCCCATAAAGAAAACCCAAGTTCACATTGAACTTCAAATCCCACAATCCTTTATGTACACTTCCCATTTTGCAGAAAATGGCAATTGCACTGCATTTAAAAACAAACTTTTTCACAAAAAAAAACTTTAAATTAAAAAAAAAAAAAAAAAAAAGGAAGAAGGAGGGGGCGGGGGGAGAAGCTTACACCCAAGGCCACTCTTGAACTTACAAAAATCCTTCACATTGCTTCCCCAAAAAACCCTAAAAACAAGTATACAACTTGAAAGCAAAAGTAACTAAATTTCAGATCAAATAAGCAAAAATCGATCAGCTAAGACAACCCGGGATAAAAAATCCTACCATAATTCGAATTAACTCAAGTAAACCCATAACCTTCAAACTTCAAAAAAATAATAAAAATAAAAGAAAGAGAGCTGCAGCTAGAATCCGAATCTAAGAAGCTAAAGACTAAGTAAACAACCTAGGGTTCCGCTCAAATTCGAAAGTGAAGCTAAACCTACGTGCTTGAGGCAAGAATCATGAACCGTGATGCTAAGGAAATTAAGGAAGAGATCCAGAGATCAAGAAGAAGGACATTGAAGGATACGAGGAAAGAAGAAGAAAACTTACCATTTATAGAAGATGGGTGAAGACGCCTGAAACTGTGCTCGAAAAGGAAACCCATTTTGAAAGTCAGTTCCATCGAATTCGATACTTCAGCTATGCGACGCGTTTTTCTTCTGTGTCTAAACGTGGAAACGAAGCTGAAGATTTGTTACGACGTCGGTTTGGCTTTTGCTATCAACTTTCGAAATTAACAACATTTTTTTTCGTTTTTGGCCGTCGGTGAAAAATTGAAAATAACAACATTAATGATAATAACTCATATAAAGAGTTTGGAAAGGAAATCAGATTACTAGGCGCTGCCTGCCTGTGAGCCATTTGTTATATGTTGACGATACTTTGTTATTTTGCAAGGTAATTATAGCACAAGCTCAAACGTTGAAAAGCTTGCTTGCCCATTATACTTCATAGTGAGGGCAAGAAATCAACCTCTTTAAATCAGCTATTATCTTTAGCAAAAGCACTTGTCTATTAATAAAGGCTAATGTTAGTTTTTTTTTTCCTTGTTATTAATAGAGATATTAATGTGGATAAGTACTCTCTTATGTGGTTAAGTGGTGATCACGTTATTCATTAGACAACAGGTGAAATGCACGTTAATTATGAATTTAACTTTTTCAAAAAACAGATACTAACTAATCTAACATAGAATTTCTTATTATTAAAAAAAAATGTGGACAAGTATTTGGATTACCTACCACGTGGGGGAGATCAAAGAAGCAAAGCTTGCAAGATGCTGGTGGAACAAAACTCCAACTTTGGAAAAAGATATCTTTTATCTTTAGTAGGCAAAAAAATTTTATAAAGGCTATAACTCAATCTATCTCTAATTATGTTATGCAATGCTTCAAGTTTCTTAAGAATGTTTGCTTATAGTTAAGCAGTTTGATTAGTAATTTCTAGTAGGAGAAAAAAGGAAGATGGATCAAAGATTCATTGGGTGTGGTGGGGAAAGCTTACAACTAGTAAATCTAATGGGGTTTGGGCTTCAAGGATTTGGAGGCTTTTACTTTAGCTCTTTTAACAAAATAATGCTGGAGACTTGTTAAAAATCTAGGGGCACTTTGGGTTAGAATGTTGCAAGGCCTTTATTTTCATTCTTCTAACTTTTTTTTAGCTGGGATAGGCTCTTCTTCATCTTGGATATGGAGTAGTTTACTGCAAGGAAGGAAGTTAATAGAATCATACTTTTGTTGGAATGTTGGCAATGGTCAGAATGTCCCTTTATGGACACGTAAATGAATTCCATCGCTTCTTGAATTTACTGTTACTACACCAAAACTATCTAAAGGTGTAAATTATAGAGTTCATGATTTTATAACAATTAATTTTGGACGAAAATTTTAAAAGCAAGGATGTGATATAAATTATATTATTAAATTAATTAATATATATAATATTATAAAATTTTTTTAAAATAAAACATTTAATTATTAAATAATATAAAATTTACTTTTTATTATTTTAAATGATATAACTTATATCACATTATTAGTCATAAATTTTAATCTTAAATTGTGTTTCTATTTATTATTATTCAAAAAAAATTTTAAAACAATCTCTTACGTAATAAATTTTAAAGGGTTTATTTAATATAATTTTTTAAGATACTAACGATTTAAGTAATTTAATAATAATTTTTTTCATTAGAAATAAAAAATATGAATTTGAATAACATAACATGTAAATAGAGTAGGGTAAGGGATGAGAGGAAAAGGGATGAGAGGGAATTACTTTTAATTGTGCAATTAAAATAAAAAATATATATTCTCTTAATACACAAGTTAATGTAATTAATGTATATTTTTTACTTTAATTTGCATAAAAATATTTACTTTTATTTATTTATTTA